TCTAGTGCTTCCAAACAAATGGCTGACAGTCCTTTGGAAAAATAGAAACACTTCTTAGAAATACAGCATTTGTAAATGCACCCAAGTCACCACCGGATACCTACACGATTTAAAGAGTGGAAAAACAAAATCTGCTTTTGGTTGTTTTTTTTTTCTTATTTCTAATATATTTCTTTATCATTGAGATCCATTGAAATGTAGGTGTACAATTCATGTTTCGAGTCTGCTCTCCATAGCAAAATAGAGATGGGAGTAAACAGAGGAAGATGAGCTGGTGCCTACCCTTTATCAGAAGTGATGCAGATCTCTCTGGGCTCAGATAGTTGGCTTCATAAGGTAGAAAAAACCTTCTTTTGATCTGTCAGATTCTCTAAGACCACCAGCCTTCTTAGGAAATGACTTGGTTTTTGCCACAAAGATGTCTTTAAACGATGAAAGATAAGAGCATTTCTTAATGTTGAAGTGAAAGTTCTCTGTCCATCAGAATTATCTCATAACTTGCAGGACAAAAGCCACGTTGGTCCTGGTCCCATGTTGACCTGCCAGTGCTCAGCATAGTGCCCAGTGTATGGTCGATGCCTGATAAGTATTTGTTGAGTGAATAATTGTTTTACTGTAGTGTTAGTCACCCCAGCTGTCGTGACAAATGACATCATCAGAAAACCGCTGGTGGTGCATAAAAGCTACCTGTCAGATAACTGTTTTTTTTTTGAGCCGGCCCCGTGGCTTAGCGGTTAAGTGTGCGCGCTCTGCTGCTGGCGGCCTGGGTTCAGATCCCGGGCGCGCACCGATGCACCACTTCTCCGGCCATGCTGGGGCTGCGTCCCACATGCAGCAACTTAGAAGGACGTGCAACTATGACATACAACTATCTACTGGGGCTTTAAAAAAAAAAAAAAGATAACTTTTTTATCTAACTGTTTTTTTGATTGTAAAAGTTTGGAATCTTTTTGCAAAATTTTGGAAAACCAACTCGTGATTCCAAATCTCAGAATGAAAGACAGACATAATTGTAGCTTATTAGGCTTAGAGTTATTATCTAACCATAAGAAGGAAGATTGCCACTCTGCTTCTGCTCACAGTCTCCATTACCGAAATTTTATGATGTCTAAAATTTAATTAAATTGGCAAAAACCATTGGATGCATATGTAATGTAATGGCAAGAACCATTACACAGGCGTCAGCTAAGCACAGGGACACGTTCCAAGACATGCGTCATTAGGTCCTTTCATCTTTATGTGAACATCATGGAGTGTGCTTGCAGAAACCTAGATGGTATAGCCCACTGCACACCTAGGCTGTATGGTACTCATCTTATGAGACCACCATTGTATATGTGGTCTGTCGTTGACTGAAACGTCGTTATGACTCTATTTGCAGAACTTAGGAGGTTTTTAGTTTGGGAGTAGGGGTAGAGAGCAGAAGGGTAAAGAACAAATGATGGTACCTATACATTTCTACACCAAAAATACTTCACTTGCCTTAAGCACTAAACAATGTACGGGCTCTATTGTGCGGTCTCTCACAAGTCAGCACTTCCACCGCTTTCAAAATAGAGAGCATTCTTTTTCATGCTGTCCAGAGGGAACATAACTTCTTGGATATTCCCTGCTGGTTATTTAAGGAGGCGTCTCGCAGCGAGTACACAGTATTACTCCCTCTGGCTGCCCGTGTTCCTGCGAATGTCTTGTCTTCAAGCTTTCTTTTCTATCCTTCCCTCTTAGTGCTGGTCAGTCCTCTTTCATTCATGAGAGCTCTTGGCTCTCAAAAGGAAATGTCTTGTTTTTTCTATGTATATAACAATAATAGATTTTTTAAAAAGCTGAACATTTTAATGCAAATGTGTGAATGACAAATATCTTGAAAGAGCTGTGATGGATGATATCCCAGTCTATGTATGCGAACCAAAATGTTTTTCCATTTTGCTGTGTGGCGTGTGTGCTGTGATTTATTGAAGCTTACCAAACTGTTTTTCCTTGCTTTTGTTATTGTGCTCACATTTATTCTGCTTTGTTTCTGTGCCTCTTCTACGTAGATTAAACAGGTCTCTGAGTCTTCTCAGTGCATGCAAACCGAATAGATCCACATCCAGGTGAGGGCTGCTTGGACTTGCTCGGGAACCCACCTCCTTCTTCGGTGGTGATACCTCCCTTTTAACACAGTAGCTTAGAGGGCTTATCCATCACCGCCAGTTGCTCAAGTCTCCAATCACGTAACTGTATTAATTATCAGATTTGTAGATGTTCAACGGGTCCTCAAAACTACTGGACTTGGGTGTTTCATCAAGTGCAGGTGGCCTAAATTAGGAAGCCCAGGAGAGAGAGCAAGGGGAGAAGTAACCTCAGATGACTTGCTTTCTCCCTGAATTTGTTTCCTTATCTGTAAAATAGGGATAATGATCCTTTTGTGGGGGATTTGTGAGGTTTACAAATACAGAGAACTCAGTGTATGTGAACCCTGCTGCCACTGCTGTTTCCATCACTGATGTCCCCGTTAACTCTTCCAGCTGCCAGGTTGAGTGTTAATTATTAGAAAATTGGTTAATGTTTGCTATAATTGATTCATAGTCATGTTTTTTCACCTCCTTAAGGGTGCTTTATACAAGTCTTTAAATTGCCGTGAACTTGCCGTGACCTCCCACAAGGAAACCCCAGAGGCCACGCTCCGGGCGGCCGCTCTCCCTGGGCTGCCAGCTGCTGGGGCTGTGCCTCAGAGCCTGTGCTAGACGCTTGGCAGAGAGCGATCCCGCTACGTTAAATTGGCTTGGTGTTTTTTGTCATTGGAAGATCTTGAACTTTAAGCATAAAGGTTTCTATAATTTTTAGACTTCACTCCCAAATTTCAGAAATGTAAAGCAGTCCTAAGATCTATAATTTCCTTGTCCCCAAATTGAGTGTTCTAAAAATTCCCATTTTAACCTTACAGCACGCCCATGAAGATCCCAGTTGTAAGATTCTGGTGCTGTAAATGCAAAGCTTCCTCAGTTACCAAAAAGACTGCGGAAAGTATATTCAAATCATCATGATTATGGTGATTTTATATATGTTTACTCACTCAGAGAGTGAGATGGTTTTTCAAAAGCCGATATGCTGTGCAGTTTTTAAAAACTGAGAGATTATTTACTGAACAATTGGACCTTGTTACAAAGGAACAAGGTCTGAAAGTTGGCCTGAAGGAAGGAATAGAAGAGGAAGAAGAAGAGAAGAAAGGAAGAGAGAGGATGGTTACTAAGAGGAGCGGTGGCTAGAGACGGCAGGCGCCTCCATGTGTGAGGCCTTTGCGCGTTCAGCGTCATCTAATTGTGAGAAATCAGGGCACTGACCTTCAGCCCAGGGGCACTAGTCTTGCTGTCTCAAGTTCCTCTTTCCTCCTGATTGAAGTTTGGTTCCATCTCCCACCCACCCCAGGAGCTATGCTCACTGAAGCCATGGGAGACTTCTTAATCACGTCCTCGTCTCCTCTCTTCTCCTCTCCACAGCGTCCAGCAGCCTCAACCAGTCCTCCTGCATTTTCTCTTGTCTTCTGCCCACCACTCCCTCTCCTTTCTTCCTTCCCCAGTCTCTTGGGGTTTCTCTGCCACCTCAGACTCCCGTGCATTTCCTCAACCCACGTCTTAAAAAATTAGTCTTTCCCTGGGGATTCTTTTCATTCTCATCTCCTCTCCTTCCTCACCTGGCGATTTCCTTCACATCCGTGCTTCAGTGACCACCAGCTGGACAGTTCCTGTCCTGAGCCCCCTCACGGGTTGCAAACCTGCATCTCACCCATCCACACCATGACTCTGTGTGTCCAGACCAGACCCACCCGAGTCTGTGCCTCTTCCCACGGCCCCAGCCCTGGAATGGCACCACCACCCACTCCCTCGGTCTTCCTTCCCTACAGAGCAGGTGCTACATTAAAGCACCTCGTGTCTCCTCCTGTGACAGGATCAAAGTGTGACACTCCCATTTATGTATTCATTTATTTCATCTTTTCATTTAATAAATATTTATCAGGCTTCTATACTAGGCTCTGCAGAGTATACAGGAATGATAAATGAGATTGGATCTCAAGAAGCTTATGGCCTAATGATGAGATAAAAAACTTTAGGGAGACCTGCAGTGCAGTTACGTGCTCCAAGAGCAGAACCATCAACCTGCAGCCCCGCCCTGGCTGATTTACCCCTCAGGCCTGTGAATTACCTGTGTACAGGGCATCCCTTTCCCTTGAGCAGGCTCTTCCCTATTATATAATTACAACACATTCAAGCCATTCATTTTATCTCTCCCAGAAATTCACAGTCTTCAGGAAGTCTTCCCCAGACATCCCTCCCCAGGCTGCCAACCACTTCTCTATAGCCCCTCTGGTTATAGAGAAGGAAGTAAGTGCTTGCATGGGCACCACCTCGGAACAAAGGCATCTGACATGGGGTGGAATGTTTCTGTGATTACCTGTGGCGTCCTATTTGTGTTTGTCCCACGTGTGCCTTTAGACCAAGGTTCTTCAATATCAGCACTATTGACATTTGGGGCTGGATCATTCTTTGCCATGGGGGCTGTCCTGGGCGGTGTAGAGTATTGAGCAGCATCCCTGGCCTCTACCCACTAGATGCCAGTAGCAGCCCTCGCCCCCCGCCCCGTTGTGACAACCAAAATGTCTCCAGACATTGCTAAATGTCCCCTGACTGAGCACCACTGGTCTAGACTGAGGCCTACCCCAGGGTCACTTCCCGTTAAGCCCATGGAGTGCTTCCACGCAGTATTGGGGGTCTTACGTTTTGGTTTCCCCTGTGACTTTGAACTGTACTAGTTGCCACACTTACAAAGGCGGTGAGCAGACACACTGATTCCAGGTGCCATTCTGAAAAGTTTTTTGATTTCTAGAGTTGGGAACTTAGAGTCCATCTATCTTTTAAATAACCATGTAGGAATATGATGTTCTATATATATATTTTTACACTCAGCAGTTAAATAAAATCACGCTGTTGAGGATTTCATTGTCCTTTACATCTCACTTTTAGTACCATCAAGAGGACCAGCTCTTCGGAACGAGTATCTCCTGGTGGTCGAAGGGAAAGCTACGGAGATTCCAAAGGAAACCGGAATCGCACAGGCTCCACCAGCAGTTCTTCTAGTGGCAAAAAGAACAGTGAAAGGTAAGGGACATCTTATCCCCGGTTCCCGCTGTTCAGCTATGTGGTTACCTCTTGTCCCTAGAGATGAATCAGGAGATCCCTTAATATGCACACAAGCTAGGAGCTCTCTTTGGCGCGCAGGCCTTCTCCTGAGGTCATTGTGGGCGCGAATCAAACAGCCATTGAGGCAGCCGCTTGTCACAGCTCACGCCACTTATTGTCCAGGTAGAAAAGTACAACTTGAACACCTAGCACTCTTGTGCGGGCAGAAGTGGTTCTGAGAATTTGCATAGTAGCAACTATATGGACTGAGAGAAGCTGTTCTCAATTTCCATATGGAACACTTTATATTTCAAGTACACCCTGCTGCCATTTTAAAATTAATTTTGGTGGATTAAGTTTGTCAGCAGTATTTTCTAAGATAAACTGGTGAAAAGTTGTAATGTTATGATTTGTCAGAAACTATTTTTAATATTGAGCTAACACCAGAAATAGGAACCATTTCTTTTCTGGTTTCATGAAATACATTTATGTCTAATTTTGAATTTTTCTTTGAGGTTAGTTATAATGGATTATGATAAATATTTATGAAACGAATAGTAACATTTTATTAGCGAAAGCTGATTTTTGGTATTTTAATAGCTTGTTCTGTGTTTAAGAATGTCTTGTGTAGATGAGGTCGGTTTCTCTGTCTATATCTACCTAGTGTTATATTTTATTCTCACTTTTTAAACATTGTGCTTGAATTTTATTCTCTCTGTTGAGCAAGGCTTAGGAAGGAATTTCAGCTTCGCTGGCTAAACGTGTTTTTTGTTTTTTTTTTTTCTGAATGTTCATGTAAGGAGAAGGCTGAGTCATAAAGCAATTGACTCCAACCCACAGGCTGTAAAAATTCCAAGTTTGTAAATCCATTCTGATTCAGTCCTGTAAAGGAAGCTTAAACTCTTTTTCAGTTTTATTCCAAAAGATATCTCTTGTAGAAAAGATGCAGCTTCTCACATCTCTAGCAGGTCAAGTCCACAGTCAATTAACAATCTCAGAAACCACTGACGTGGGGTTCTGTCTTCTCATTTAGACTATTAATACTTCTTATCAGAAGATTATGCTAATTGGGTGATAATACCTTGGAAATAAGGCCAAGTGGTTACAATGGCAACAGAGTGTGCTTATGTGGGAGATGCAGTGTGGCCTTCAGGCTTCTCTGAATTCAGGGTAAATTTGGAAGTTGATCTGAAATATCTAGATCTTGGCGGTTCTTAAAAACTTGGCTCCTTCTCTGCACATCTGATTTTTATTAAGAATTTCCAAAAAGAATCCGCATTGTGCAAACTCCAGCTCTGTTTTATCTTTTAAATCCTATGGCTTTGGTAAATGTGCTGGGTAAACATTTCCATAAGAGATATTTACAAAGGGATTTTTTTTTAAATGCCACACTAGGAACTTTTGATTTGGAAATAAGGGACTGGGAAAATTTACTAATCATTTTCTAAAAATAATTCAAGCAGCTAAACATGTCCGTTTAAAAATAAATTCCTTGTCTCATTAGAACGCAGAAATAGTTGAGGCCAGCATAGCACCGAACTGGTTGACTTGCACGCACCTAAGGAGTTTCAGAGAGAAAGTTCCTGCCTTCTCTTGGGTTATTGCTGGTATTGACAGAAACCTTTGGGGGCCCATGGGAATAATAGCAGCGGTAACTCAGACAGAAAGAAGCAATAGAAGCGAAGGTCAAGTTGGTGATTCAGTTGCTGCTTGACTCTTCCTTCCTTCTTCCTCTCCATTCTCATGTAAGCGCCTCACTCTTGGGCTGCCTTGACCTGGTACCAAAGCAGAGCTAAAGTCTTACTGAACAATGCCCAGTCTCCAGGACTTAAAGCATGCAAAGAAAGGGATAGGGAGGTGGCCCTGATGTAATTCCTCTTTTAAACATTATGGTATTTGGTGGTCTCCTCCTCATCACTCGCTAGTATTTGTCCATGGTTCCAGGATGCTGGCTTACATTTGTCCATGGTTCCAGGATGCTGGCTTACATTTGTCCGTGGTTCCAGGATGCTGGCTTAC